CAGTGTTGCCCTGGCCGGTGTAGCTCACTTGGTTATCGCGTGCCCAGAGAGGTTGCGAACTTGATTCCAGGTCAGGGCACAAGTGTTGCCAACTCTTTCCCTGGTGTGTGTGTGTGTGTGTGTGTGTGTGTGTGTGTGTGTGTGTGTTGGGGGCAGAGAGAGAAGGCTGCCAATTGATGTTTCTCTCTCTCCCCTCTCCCTTGCTCTCTCTAAAATCAATAAAAACATTTTTAAAAAAGGAAGAAGACCGTACCTAGCATTTGCCAGCAGAATCACTGCAACTGTTACCAAAATGAGGAGATCTCTAGTATCCACCACCATTGGGAGAGATGTCTTATTTTTCAATGCTAAGAATTCATTTGTAAATCACTCTGAAAATGTAAAACAGTAATTGCACTCTAAAAATAAGTCTACAGTATGGTTTCAAATTCACAGATAAAAATAATTTTAAGTGATTTATAATTGCAGGATGTCTTCAAGATGTAGCAAGAGAAGAGCAATTCAGGAACCTACACCTTCACACATGGATCAATTAATTGAGAACACAAATACATGAGTCTGGAAGTCTCTTTTAGGATCTGTCCCAGGAAGAAGACATGAAAAAGCACTCAGCAAAAGACAAGCTTGAGGTGAAAAGCAATGTCTGAGTCAGGTCCAGACTACCAGGTTGTAAGACTGACTAAAACTCAGTACGTGAGAAATCAGCTACCCCCAACATAGCTCAAAATCTGACAAACTGCTGAATAAAAGGATGCTAAACGAGGACCAGAAGCTGGGAAATTCCTCACGAACCCCATAAAACATGTTTGGTCTCTTCTCCAAGTTGCTAGATTAGCACTAACTCAAAACCCCAATGATTACTCCGTTACTTCCCAAAATTAACCCCCAAGTAATAAAAAGAATTTCCCCAACTCAAAATGGGATCCACATTCATCACCTAAGTACCACACAAAGTGAGGAGGGGATTAGGAGGTTGGGTGGGAAGGGGGAGGAGAGGGTTGAAGACTTAAGAGACCAGATCATGTGTCAAGGAAAAATGAATAAATTACAAATTTTTTATTTTGGAGGAACAAGATACAGAAGTAACAGCAAATAAAACCAGGTAACAATTATTTACTTACTCTGTAGATGGCACTGTGCTAAATGATTTGCATGTTTTATATCATTTTCTCCCCAGAAGTCCTACAGGTACTACTATTAGTTCCTTTTTCATATAGAGAAACAAGCTTGGAGAACCTAAGCAACTTGACCCAAAACACACAGCTAGTTAACTGAGTAAGAAAGGACCTTGAATTTGCAAGATGCAGAGATTTGTTCGACCAACCTCGATATTTAATGAAGAAGCTTGAAAAGATTAGGGAGATTAAGATATCCCCCAGTTTTACCTGAGTAGGGAGGCCTAGAACCCAGATATTAAATGCTCTCTCCACTTCACTTGGTACAATGTTAAGATCACATGCTGGGGTGGCAGGCTCCATCCCCAGTAGAGGGCGTGCAGGAGGCACCGGGTCAATGATTCTCTCTCATCATTGATGTTCCTATCTCTCTCTCCCTCCCTCTTCCTTCCTCTCTGAAATCAATAAAAAAAATTAAAAAAAAACCACAACTATGAACAACAGAAAGGTCACATACACACATATATTCTTAATAACATACTAGTAAAAATTGGCATTTTTATCACATTTTATATTCATTTTTAAAGAGTTTTTTGAAAATGCACCTCAAGTAATTGTTGCCTTAATTTCCTAATTTTGCACCTCTTTATACGCCTAGCAGGCAACAAGTAAATCTACAGTTAAAGTCAGGGCTAAAGGCAAAGTTGTTTTTAACTTCTCCACTCCCAAATTTATTATATTTTTTTTCTGCTCAAGATTATAAAAGAAAAAATATATATTGAACTTTATAAAAAAGTTTTTTAATCTCAGGAGTCTTAAAAAATAAATAAAACCAATTTATGCTATCCTGATCTCCTCCAAAGAGAACTGACTTCCGCTTGTTAAGATTATTATCCTTCCGCCGTCTCCTCTCCCTCCAATTACTACTGCTAGACAATCACAGCAGAATGCATTTTAATTTCCCAGGAGTCAGACAATAAATAGCAGCTCTATTAAGTAAAGATGATAGTCATGTTAGCTCCACAATCTATCAATAATCTTATGCCTATAGCCTTACTATGTACTAGACACTGTTCTAGTCTCTTGACATATAGTAATTCATTTAATTTTCATAAGAGTGGTACTTTGTACTTCCTATTTTCCCAGTTTACAGATGGGGAAACTGAGATAGACAGGTTAAGTAAAATTTGCCTAAGATTACACAGAGCTAACACTCTACCCAGGTGGCCTGGCTGTGTGGCTCAGTTGGTTAGAGCAGTGGTCGCGAGCCACATGCGGCTCTTTGGCCCCTTGAGTGTGGCTCTTCCACAAAATACTGACTTCTGCGCATGGGCCACGAAGTTTCAATCGCACTGTACATGCGCACCCACACGTGGTATTTTTTGGAAGAGTCACACTCAAGGGGCCAAAGAGCCGCATGTGGCTCACGAGCCGCAGTTTGCCGACCACTGGGTTAGAGCATCGTCCTGTATACCAAAAGGTGACAGGGTTGATTCTGGTAAGGCACATACACAGGTTTCAGGTTTGATCCCAGGCACATATGGGAGGCAACCAACTGATGTTTCTCTTTCTCGCTCTCTCTCTCTCTCTCTCTCTCTCTCCTTCCTTCCCTCCCTCCCTCTAAAAATCAAAAGACAAAAAAAAACAACCCACAAAAAACCACTCTATCCAGGTGGTCTAACTCCTAACTCTCCAGAAAGTCTCCTCAAAATCAGAACCCATGTTTCTCCATTTCACTGGCCCCAAGTCAGCTGCCTATCACACTCCCCTCCCTGGCTGCCTCCTCTCTCAAAGCTAGCATGACTGCCCATACTCACACAAGACATGTCCTCTCCCCACCATCAACTGTACGTTGTACTTTTATCAAAGTCCAAAGAGACTTTACCCTGATTCTGGATTCCCTTTGCATTTAAATGTATTCCAGAACTGTACACAAGCTTACATTAGCCATCATTAACCAAAGTACCGTCCATACTGCATGCTAGATACAATGCTAAGAAGGTTCCCATAATTTCAAGAATGTGATCAGACCCGTTTTACTGAAGATAAAACTGAGGCTAGGAGAAGCTAAACACATGTTTCGGCAATGTTCTCACAGTGAATAAATAACATAGCAAGACCAGGTATTCAAGTCTATGAATCAAAGCTCACACTATTTCTCCATGTATAAATGCTTGTCTTCCTCAAGCATACATGGCTCCTCTATTTCTTTTATATCATCTAGAGCACCTAGGTATATTCCTATTCATAAAGGAGGTATTTCTTTAACAAATGAATTCTGGAAAATCATTAGAAAGCCAGCGATTACACTTTTTTAATGGTTTCTAATACTATTTCCAAAAACAAAAGGTTCAATTCCTTAAATAATTCATTTACATTCAGATTCAAATACATTCAAAACCCAAGATTACTCTCACTCCAGGACAACTCCCACAACTCCCCTCCCGCCCCATTAACTGCAGCCCCCAAAGAAAGGGTTAGCTATCAATTGTTTTGCTTTGCCATCAGTTTCTTCAAGTCTCTCTTAGCCCCAGGGAAATAGCAACATGACAGCGTCCCCGATTCTGCAGCCAGCTAAACTTAAACCAATCTCACCTCTTAAGTGTCATTTTTTTAACCCAATAATTAGCATACTGTGAATGCTCATTACATAAACATCTTCTCTTCCTGGATACAAAGGTTTAAGCAACAGTCTTTAATACCTTGAAATAGCATAACGTCAATTCCTGCTCATGTAGTCAAGGTGAAAGGTAATAATCACATTTATGTTTCAGTACTCTGTATTTTAATGCCACTATTGATAGCAACTGGGTGAAACGTAAGCCAGAAATAAGTATTTCACCAAAGAATCTTAACAGTACTCACTGATATATACCAAGAATATCTTTGTTCCTGTTATAACGGGGTACTACCTTCGTTCTCTCCCAACATAAGCCACACCTTTTAGGTTGACAAAAGCAGAGAGATAACTGGGTTTCTCTCTCTCTCTTTTTTTTAAATCCCAAAAAAGATCCGTCGAACCTCTCACCAGAGCAAATCGCAAGAATGAAGAATTCCACCTCCCTTTTCTTTACCATCCCTCACTCTCCGCCTTCAGCTACCAGAGAGGGTGGGGGGTGGGGGAGGCGGTGGTTGAAACAGACACAGAAGGCTCCGCTCGGTCGCTCGGTCGGTCACCTCCTAGTCTGGCCCATCCCAAACTTCACCTTGGCACGGCCGGGAGCAGGAAGGCACCAGGAATTCCTAGGAAATGGTCTCACCCGCAACGAAGAACATTCTTAACTTCCTCGAAGCCACCATTTCCCTGGGGCATCTTCCCACACTCCCCCCGGGCACGTTACCTCCGAGAACACTTCAAAAGGAAAGCGCACACGCACACAAAGAGCAGCGCACCGCTGGCAGCTGCAGCTCCGGCCCGGCGGGCGCGGAGAAGCCCGGAGACCACGCGGAACCAGGGCCAAGTTGCCACCGCGATCGCACCGACGGGGCAGGCGACGGCCGGGCAGCTGGAAACGCGGCGCGCGGGGCTCCATCCAGCCCCGCGCCCGACGCCCCGGTCCTCCGGGCAGGAAGCCCGGCGCGGCGGCGCTGCCTCCCCGCAGGGCTCGGGCCCCGGCCGGAGAGATAAGGTGGATCGGCGCTTCCCACCCTCCCAGCTCCGCCCTCCCGGCCACATTCCTGAGAAGCCCGACTCCCGGGACGCGAGCAGGGCGCCGGGCACCCAGGAGCGCAGCGCGGCGGCCGCAGGGCAGGAGGACAGGACCGGCCCCGCGCCCCCCGCCCGCGCGGCGCCTCCGGGGCGGGGTCCCGGCGGCCGCCCCGCCACAGGTACGCGAGCCCCCGCCCGCCGCCCCCAGCCGCCCCCGGCGGGCCCGCTCCAGGCACCTGGATGAACTGGATGGTGAGCGCCGACTTGCCCACGCCGCCTCCGCCGACCACCACGAGCCGGTACTTCTCCTGGCCTGAGCCGTCCCGCCAGCCGGCCGCGGCCATGGGGACGCCGCCGAGCCCAGCCCGGCCACGCCGAGCCGCCGCCCGCCCTAGGCCCGGCTCCGGGGACGTGTGCGGCCGGCGGGCTGCGGGCGAGCGGGCGGGCGGGGGTCCCGGGCGCCCGGAGCTGCTGGGAAGGCCGGCGCGGGCGGCAGCGCGGCGCCCCGGCTGGCCGAGTCCCGCCCGAGGCGCGGAGGAGCGGGGTGACCGCAGGGGCTCGGGGCAGCAGCGACCGAGGGGCGCGCGAGTGCACACGTCTCCGCAGCGCCTGCCGCACCAGCCTCCAGCGCCGCTACAAATGGCCGTCTGGGGGCCGGGCCGCGGGGCTGGTGCTGCATATGCATGAGGGGGCGGGCCGGGCGGGGCGGGGCGGGGCCGCGCGAGATTCCGGAGCTGCCCCAGAGCTGAGACCACGGCTGCCCTTGTTGAGTGTGTGTGTGTGTGTGTGTGTGTGTGTGTGTAGTATGTGACCATAATTCTGTATGTCAGGGATTATATGGATGGAAAAAATACAGTATGTGAAGGCATGTGTGAAAAATAGAGCTGTTGTGATCTTAACGCAATTTGTAGGAGAGTAAATATCCTGTTTTAAGAGTACAGATGGTGACGGGATTGAAGAACAGAATGTGTCAGTGATTGAGGATCAGAGCTGTGCCACAGTAATTGTGTGTGATGAACCTGTGATGGTGACAGCGTGTGAGGACTGTGATCGAGACTGAGCATGGGGAATAATAAGTCACAGTGATTGAGCGTGCTTGGGCAAGAGTGAATAGGACAGATTTTGTGTGTTTTAGGGGAGTGTCTTAGTGTCTGTGTTTAGGTGTGAGAAATATATAGTAATGTATCTGAGGAGTATGGGTGTGAGAGATTAGTGTGTACTTATTTGCACACTACCTACCAGGCACTGTGCTGGAGATCCTTTTCGTGTACAAAACAATGTCCCTGCCCTCGGGGAACTTAGAGTCCAATGGGAGAGACCGCCAGGACAACAGGCAAAGTAACTGCTAGGCACCGGTGGCATGTGCATTCATAGGAAAAGCACTCACCCCAGCGTTGGGTAATCAGGGAATGCTCCCTAAAAGACCTGAATAATAAATGATATAGGCAGACAAATAATTGGAATAAAAGTGTTCCAGGGAAAGAAAACCACATATGCAAAAGTCAGAGCTAAGAAGGTAAGAATTGTGTCACATGATTGTAAATGTATTGGGAGTTTGCATACCACTGATTGTGAATGAATGAAAAGTGATTATCTATGTGTGTGGCAGCTTATCAGAATGTAGCAGGAATCACAGCTCCATGCAGAGGTGGTAGAAGGTGGTAGAGATGGGTTCTGGGGCCAGACTGGATTTGAATTCTAGCTCTTTCAATAATGGCGTGATACTGGGAACTTATTTAATCTGTGTAAATAAGACTAAGACTGCCTACCTTGAGGTGTGTTTTTGTTTTGTTTTGTTTTTAATAAAAATCAAATGAGTTAATACAACAGCGTCTGACATTTTGGCATTTATGGCAGTTAGGAAACACGATTGCAAGTTCATTGGACATAACCTAGTGACTCGTTTGGAACCAGTAGAATGCAGCAGAAGAGATGCTGTTATCACTTCCAAGACTAGGTCAAAAGAGGCCATGCAGCTTCCACCTGTTCTCTTGGAATTCTTGCTCTAGGAGAAACACAGTCAGAAGTTTGGCTACCCCGAGACTGCTATGCTGGAGACGCCACATGTAAACATGTCAGTCAAAGGGCCAGCTGAGCTCCTAGCCAATGGCCAGCATCAAGTGCCAGCCATGTGAGACATCTTGGACACCCAGCTCTGCCCGACCTTCTGACTGCAGCCCCTGCTGGCATTTGACTGACTGCAACTGCATGACAGATTCCACGCAAGAGCCACCCAGGCTAGCCATTCCTGACCTACAAAATCATGAGCAAAATGAAGTAGTAAACCGTTGTACTTTTTAAAACTTTTTACTGTGGAATAATTTCTATATATAAAGTATGAAGAGCACCCATACACCTTTACCTAAATTCAGCTATTGTGAGCATTCTACCTCTGTTATTCTCCCCTCTCTATCGATTTTTCTCTGTTTCTCCCTTTCTTTAGAGATATGTATAATTCATAAACATGAATTTTGTAGCTTCTTAAGGGTAGCCCTTTACCCCTAAGAGCTTCAGTGTGTATTTCCAAAGAATAGGGATACTATTTCACACAACCACAGTAAATTTATCAACTCTAGTACATTTAACATTCATATGAAAACATTTGTATAATCTATCACTTATATTCCAGTTTTGTCAGTTGACTCAATAATGTGCCGTGGTACAGGATCCGGTCCAGAATCAGGCCTTACACTGGTTGTCAAATTTCTTTAGTTTTTTTAAGTGTGGCGCAAAATGGTTGTTTTAAGACCTATTTTTTGAGGAGGTGGGAGGATATTTGTTACACAGCAGCAGTAGCCAGAAAAGCCTCAATGACAGATATTACTATCAATGCGAAAAGGAGGAGAAAAGGGAGAGAGGAAAGGAAGAGGAGCCCATGTCAAAGAAGAGCTGAGGAAGGGCCAGTTAGGCTTCCCGCAGGTGCCGCTCAGTGTCTGCCGAGGCCTGAGATCCCCCATTATTTTTCAGGACCAAGAAGATAACCAAAGAGTTGTCCTTACACTCCTTCCCTTCTAAAGTACAATCCAAAATCTTTGTCTCTTTTAAAAAAGCTGTGGTAGTCAGAAAAGCTTACCAAATCTCAAAAATATCCAACAGAAAGTTATTCCTTGAGCGGGGGGGGAAAAACAATATAGTGATACTAGCACAGCTATTTAGACTGGGGGAATCAAGCATAGGTCCTAATACAATTGTAGTGAGGTCCTCAGCATTCTGTGACTCAGCACGTGGCAGAGGAGCACTCAGGGGTACTGAGCCTGATGATAGTTTGATTTGTGAAAGAAAATGAGGCGCAGGCAGTAATAAATACAAGCTGGCAAGCACCTATGTGTCGGCGATGAGAGTTTTCAGGGAGAAACCTATTTTCAGTAGACCCTATTTCAGTAACCTATTTCCTGGGTTCCTTCTTTGCCTGAGTCCTCACCAAGATGTTCTTTCCTTCCTACTCTGCGATCCTGGAATACAGGACAATTCCAGCACTGAAACCAAGCAAGTAAACCCATCCTGTAGAAAACATGTGTTAGCTGGCTCCCAGAAATCCATTTCTCCTTGCTTTCAAATAGTATCTCCAATTTCTCCTCTGTAGTTTGGGAGTGGCTGACACCCACCCTAGCTCCAGGGGTTCACTCAGATTCATTTCAGATTACCAGTCTCCACTAGCCAGTCGTTAGCTAAAGCAGTGGTCGGCAAACTCATTAGTCAACAGAGCCAAATATCAACAGTACAACGATTGAAATTTCTTTTGAGAGCCAAATTTTTTAAACTTAAACTATATAGGTAGGTACGTTGTTATCAACTTAATTAGGGTACTCCTAAGGCTTAGGAAGAGCCACACTCAAGGGGCCAAAGAGCCGCATGTGGCTCCCGAGCCGCAGTTTGCCGACCACAGGGCTAAAGGATGGGCACGTGACTAGGCCAGGTCAATCAGAACAGATTCAACTGCAGAAATCAACTACAATGAAATACCACTTCACACCCATTAGGATGACTATAATAAAAAAGTCAGATAATAACAAGTGTTAAAGAGGATGTGGAGAAACTGGAACCCTCATACACCATTGATAGAAATATAAATGGTGCTGCTGCTTTGCAAAACAGTCTGGGAATTTCTCAAAAGTTAAACATACAACCCAGAAATTTTACCCCTAAGCATATACTCAAGATAAATGAAAATATATGCCCATATAAAATGTACATGCAAATTTATAGCAGCATTATTCATAATAACCAAAAAGGGGAGGGGGAAACTCAATTATTCATGAACTGATGAATGAATAAACAAAATGTTCTTTCCAAGATGTTCTTTCCTTCCTACTCTGCGATCCTGGAATACAGGACAATTCCAGCACTGAAACCAAGCAAGTAAACCCATCCTGTAGAAAACATGTGTTAGCTGGCTCCCAGAAATCCATTTCTTCTTTAGCATTCTGTGACTCAGCATGTGGCAGAGGAGCACTCAGGGGTACTGAGCCTAATGATAGTTTGATCAGTGAAAGAAAATGAGGAGCAGACAGTAATAAATACAAGCTGGCAAGCACCCATGTGTTGGCAATGAGAGTTTTCAGGGAGAAACCTATTTCCATATAATGGAATATTATTTGGCAATAAAAAGGGAAGAAGTGCTGATACATGCTACAACATGGATGAATCTTGAAAATAAGCTAAATGAAAAAGCCAGTCACAAAAGACCAAATATTGTGTGATTTTATTTATATAAAAGGTCCAGAGTAATAAAATCTATAGAGACAGAAAATGGATTAGTGGTTGCCAGGGGTAAGGGGGAAATGCTGAGTAACTGCTAACAGGTATGGGGTTTCTTTTTGGAGATATGAAAATGTTCTGAAATTAGATAGTTGTGATGATTGCAACTATCTAATTGCAGTGACTTACACACTTTTAAGGTGAATTTTATGGTATAGGAATTAAATCTCAATAAAGCTATGAGGAGAAAAGATTCAATTGCAGGGTTTTATTTGAGCTATGACGAAAACATCTTTTTACTTCAAGATGTCCCTCATATCAATTCTATTTCTTTATTGTGTTTTTTTTTTTACTCAAAGTCAACTGTTCAGCAAGCAAAAAGTCCATATGCTCAATTCCACCGGAGCATGCTATTCCAAAATGCTGTCTTCCCCTTAGAAAATAGCCCAAAAGCCAAGAGCAGAAAGAAACTCCCCTGCAAAAATGAATCACAAAGACATAGGAGAATATGGGAGAGAAACAACTAGTTGTCATTCAAGACAAAGATTAGTTTTCATCTTAATCTGAAAAGTTTCATTCTCAAGTAGAGGGATAATAGGTGAGTGCATAAATCTTCATGAGGAGAATGGCCTAGAAACTCGGGAAGAACAATAGAGATCATCCCCCTCACTTCACCAAAAGAAATTCTGTGACTAGGGAAGGCATTTCTTTCCCAATGTTACCTAGCAGGTTGTTAGCAGGATACAGGTCTTCTGACTGCCCGCTATGAACACTTTGCCTCATACCAAGCCAGGTGTTGTCCAGAACCCCTCAAAGCATCACAGCACAATGCTGTCAATCAAGAGGCTGCTGAATGCATCATTTTTACTTAAGTTGAGCAATTGTCTGGCTAAGGAGTTGTCAAGAGATTTCAACAGACAGATTTAGGGCCAAATTTGACCAACAGATAT